AGTGGTCTTTTATAAAAATATTAACATACTCCAATTTACTCTTTCTTTTTTTTACTAAATAAGTCAAGAACTATGGATCACAGTTCAAAATATTTTAATCGTTTCAGAATTATAAAAGAAACAGTTACAATTTTTTTATTTGGTATAAACGAAGTTGAAATATTTTCTAATAGAATTAGGTAGGAACCAAGAAATGATATATAACTTTTAATGTTGATGAAATGTGTCTTGAAACAGCAGCAGAATTTAGTCTGTCAATTATGTTAATGTTATTATATATCTGAAAAACTCAAATGTTAAGAAATGGTCTTAAGAAGTAAAATAAGTTCTTTTAAGTAAGAAAAATAACCGAAAAAGTATGGGAATTTATACATATGTAAGAATTTCGGAAACTAAAAAAAATTGAATTGTAATATGACATGGCAGAATCAATTTCAATTAAACATTATTAAGAGCACTCAATTATCCAAAACAATAACCTCCCAGTAGCTCAGCGGTAAATCTAAGAGCATATAACGCTAAAATTCAGGGTTCGATACCTGCAGTGGACAGAGTACAGATAACCCATTGTGAAGCTTTGTACTTAACAGCAAGTAAAATATAATATGGTTATACGATGCTGCCATCTCTGTTTAGAACTTAAAACCATGTAGGCGATGTGATAATAGACTTGCAATGCCAGAAATTAAATTTTAGAGCTCTTTCACTTTCGCAACACTAACAACGTTTAAGAAATGTTGGTATGATATTTTCAAAGATCATATAGAACTTAATAATACTTAAAGTTATAGTCATACACTTAAAAGACATTTATATATATATATATGTGTATTAATATACAATTGTTTGCCGGTTACTTTTATTCTTTAAAAAAATCATACTGGTAGATACCATAATATTGTATTATCAACTAGATACTGTGCAACAGTAGAGAAGTATGTTGTTTTGTACATCTTGATATATCAATTATAGTTGCCTTGAGTTACAATTTGATCATGATACATCTAGGTGAGTAGAGTTAGTTAATTGTTTTCATTTAAGTACTTCCGAGTCGATTTATACCTTGACCCATCCACTTAATTAATTTGAGCTGAAATGTAACCTTGTTCAAATACCTTTAATTGGGTTGAGACAACGCTTTTCCATCAACGTGGCTTAAGTTATGTTATATCTTGATGCATACAATTACTTTATGCACTTCAATATACCACCTAAGACGAGTTGTGTAGCACACTAATGGATCAATTGGAGAGGAGTTCCACCTTTGTACATCTAACAAAGGTAAGTTGTGTAACACATTGGTGGATCAACTTTAAAGGAATTATACCTGGGTACATCTAACTAAGACAAGTTGTGTAGCACACTGATGGATCAATTGGAGAGGAGTTCCACCTTTGTACTTCTAACAAAGGTAAGTTGTGTAACACATTGGTGGATCAACTTTAAAGGAATTATACCTGGGTACATCTAACTAAGACAAGTTGTGTAGCACACTGATGGATCAATTGGAGAGGAGTTCCACCTTTGTACTTCTAACAAAGGTAAGTTGTGTAACACATTGGTGGATCAACTTTAAAGGAATTATACCTGGGTACATCTAACTAAGACAAGTTGTGTAGCACACTGATGGATCAATTGGAGAGGAGTTCCACCTTTGTACTTCTAACAAAGGTAAGTTGTGTAACACATTGGTGGATCAACTTTAAAGGAATTATACCTGGGTACATCTAACTAAGACAAGTTGTGTAGCACACTGATGGATCAATTGGAGAGGAGTTCCACCTT